ACTTTCTTCCAAGTCTGATCCGTAAAAGCTTAATGGAATTGGTGATATTTATTCGGATTTAGACAATGATTTGAGTGACAAAAGTATGGAAATGCTAATAAAAAGATTAAAGGTAAAACATTTTTCTAGGAAGAGTAGGATGCTTCACGTTCATGCAGAGTTTAGCATCCTTCTCTACTAAGAAAAACGTTTTACCTTTAATTCTTTTTATTAGCATTTCCATACTTTTGTCAGTCAAATCATTGTCTGAATCCGAAGAAATATCACCAATCCCATTAAGTTTGTACGGATCAGACTTGGAAGAAAGTTGAGAATAAAATTTCCTTTCGTCTTTGTCATCATAGAGTCTTATGATCCCGTTTTATGGAAACTGTCACGACCAACGGAAAACATTCCATCACCATCAACCTTGTCACTCTCAATTAAACTTCTTTTCCTCTTGGAAAATGAAGTAGAGAATTCCTCTATAACCTCTTTTATCTACTTAGGAAATGTTAAATTCCTACCTACACCATCACTATTTGAAACACATGCCATTGCCTTCTCATCATCATTGTCGCTAATGAGAACAACAATTGATCAAAGACACACCCTGTCAGGTACTGTATCCAAGTTATTCTCTGTATCCAAGTTCATACCGAGTAATAGTACCACGAGTATAATCACCAAAGCCACCAGACAACTTTATGATGCCAATGAAGCAAGATGAGCTATTCAATGAAACTCGTATTGTAAAGAAGAAGAAAGAGACTGATTCAGAAAGGTGGGTCGAGGATTCTGAAACTCGTAGTGTTAGTTCTATTGAACTTTATACTTTGTTGCTTTTAATTGTTGTTGTTGGCATAAAATGCCTGTTTAGGATTTTTGGTAAGCTGACAGGTGGTGTAGCTGCCAGAACAGGCTGTTTCTGCCAAAAATATACCAAAAAAAGCGACCAACTTTGGTCTCTAGTTGGTCGCTTTTCACTTAAAAAAGACAATTTTCTGGGCAATAGCGACCAACCTTGGTCGCTATTTAACCCAGATTTCTCAAAAGCGACCAACTTTGGTCGCTATTCCATTTAAAAAAACAATTTCTGGAAATATGGCGACCAAAGTTGGTTACTTATAATTAAAAAAAATTAATTCTTGCAGTTGGCGACAAATTTTGGTCGCTCATTTTAAAAAAAAATTATAAAAATTAATAATAAAGCGACCAACTTTGGTCTCTATTTTCCAGATTTTAAAATATAATATTTTCTTGCAGACCAAAGTTGGTCGCTTTTTTATGATTAATAATAATAAAAAAAAAACGTAATTTACATGTGGAGACCAACGTTGGTCGCCAAATGTATATTATTAAAATAATATAGCGATCAACGTTGGTCGCTACTTTCTTTATAGGAATATTTGGTCCTTTTACCTTAGAGACCAGCTTAATATCGGCCATCCCATTTTGGTCGTTATTTGGTCGCTTTTTGGCCATTAAGCGACCAACTTTGGTCGCTTTTTGTGATCGCTTTTTTCCGGATTTCTAGTAGTGCAAGTGCATCCCATATGCTCGAATCTGCCTGTGTCTATGTTCACAAGGAATGGACCTGGTTCATGCCTGAACTTCCTTTATCAATCTTCGAAACAAACCTTTACTTGGGCCAACAGTTTAAAAACTTCGACCACTTCAGCTTTAGAAGGTAAAAGAAATATCCAAGTGTAGTAGTAGTATGCGAAGGAAATAGTAACCTTGTTTGCTTTCCAAAGGACATACAGCATAAATTTCACCAACATTACCACATTTACAATTTTGGAATGCACTCATATTCTTCAAAGTGTTTTACTGGCACATTTTCTAACCTTTTATTCCTCGGGGCTACATCCATTATTTCATCATTCTTTGTTGTATTTACAGTAGATAATGTTCTAAGAACTGAACATTTGTCATTTGCAGCAGTTGCAATGGGAACATGAGAATTAGTTGTACTTGCACATTCAGAGTAAAATACATATAAACCATCATCTTCTCCACCAATCCCCTTCACCTGTCCACTTGAGAGTTATTGAAAATGCAGAATTCAGGAAAGAAGATCACAATCATCTCCTTTTCTTTGTTAACTTTGAGACAGACAGAAGGTTGTATTTGAACTCTAATATATTCAACACATTGCTAATCTTTTGACCATGAATAATATATAGGATGAGCCTATATGACTAATATGAGCTACATTTCCTATAGGGAGTTGTACTTTTACCATTCCTGTTCCAAGCAAAAGACTTAGGATCAATCAACAGGTTAAGACTATTCACCATATGAATTGAGGCACCTGAGTTTACTATCCACTTAGCCAGAGCTTCTGTATTTAGAGTTCATGCATGTTGCCATAGTTGTAGCTGAAATATTGCTATCAATCCCTTTTCCCACCAACCACATTATCTGTTGATACTGTTCTTCAATGAACTGAGAGATGTTTAGCATCACATTCTAAGTCCCTAATCTAGTCACAGATCCATGTTGCACCTGAGAAGACCCTACAAAATTAGATGTGGTAGACACTGATTCATTTCCTGCATCATTTGGAGAATCTTAAGAATGTGGACTGCATTCCCAGAACCAATTTTCTTCTTGGATTTAAAATCAAGAACGATATCCATTGTGCTTGTAGCAAGTCTCTCTAGTATGCCCCTTAAAGTTGCAGGAATCACATTGCATACTATTCTTCCTAGCTTTGTAATTGTTTTCTCATGCATAAGACTAACTACCAGAATAGTTATTACTGTCTGAGTAGTTGTTCCCTCCTACGTAAATATGACCACCTGAGTAGTTGTTGCTCCCTTTACCACTGAACAGGGTTGTGGTGTTGTTTGATACAGCTATACTTTTGACACTGAATAATACATCACCTTCACTGACCTAAGAAACCTATGAATTGGGACATAGATCTTCTGCTCTCTTTAGAGATGATCATGGAGTAGGCTCTATTGATAGAGGGAATAAGTGCATGTTCAGCTAAATTAAGAGTAGGATTCATTTAACCCACACTACTAGAAAACTGCCTAAAATCGTCCAGAAATACTGACCAAAATCGGTTGAATAACTGGAAAAACAGACTGATTTCCGACCGACTTTAATCCGTTAAAATTAGGCTGGTCAGTAATTAATAGCAACCGAAGTCGATCGTAATTTCTGACCGATTTCGGTCGGTCAGTTAATTTTCACAAACGACCCAAAAAGAAAAAATATGCCAAAAACCGACCTACTCTACAAAGTGTTTTCAGGTTTAATTAATTTGAGTGAAATTAGAGAACTACCTAGAGTGTCGCACAGTTGAAGAAACAGTGGGTGATGTTAATCTATAGTCAAAGCTGCATCTGAAATGTTGTCACTTCCAACTGTTGTTCTATATATAACGAATCACTCCATTCTCGGCCATCTTTGTTAAGCAGAAAAATCGAGCTTTGATGATGAATTGAAGATAGATTTAACCCTAAATCGAAGAAATCAAAACAACCAGAAATTTTAAGAAAGACAGCAACAGAGAATATAGAAATTGATTGATGAAGCGTGGATCATAGACGCTCGCTTTGGTTCCACGATGAATTCCTAGATTTAAACACAATATATTGAAGAGTAGAAATGAAGTAGAAGCAAATGCACGAGAAAGGAAGAAGGAAACAACTTTCATTTCTCACTATTCAATGTAACAGTACTGATGTACAAGCGTGTATATATATTTATACAGAGCTAAGAGCTACTAACTTAAGCTACTGCCGATAACAAACTAACTTCCTAACTGACTAGTCTTTCCACTGACTCAGTCGGTTGTGCCAGCTGTACATTGCTGGCATCTCTTCATATTATCGCGAGGAGGCTGCTCCTAGCCAATATTATGAGAAGCAGTACAGTTTTGGCTCACAGCAGTGGAGGCTTGGACGCTAATAAAAATGTACATAATCAGAGAAGAAATTAAAGAAACAAATGAGAAACAGGCAGGGGCAGTAATTATTGTAAGAATTATGAATTCTTGTTATAGAGAAAAGAGAAAACGAGCAAATCTCTCCCATATATTACAAACCAACATAACATCAAAATGAAATTACATGTGGCAAAATGGCCTCGTTGGTGAGGTTATCAAAATTCATCCGTAGACATTACAATGTTTTTTAACTGCTGACGCTAGTGATTCTAGTTAAGGCATCTTCAATAATGGCTTGTGCCCAATTATCAAACTTGGTGAACTCAGGATCCTGACCATATATAGCATTGACACATTCCTTGCATGTCTCCATGTTTGAGGACATTGCACTCACATCAACATTGGCTTTGTAATAGTTTCCTTCATTTACGTCTTCCAACGTCTCTTTCATGGCATCAACAGCATCTTCGTACACCTCCTTGCATGTCTCAAGACAATCTTTTTTGTAAGCGTCCACAATCCGAGCCAACCGCTTTTCCACTACTTTGTTAACAAAATCTTCTGTCTTAGAAATGGAGGAAACCATCAGGCTACCAACAAGATTCTTCACAGACGCTCCGTTAGAATTACCGGCATCAACATCGGCAGTTTCTGTTGGAATTACTGGTGAAGCAACTGGTGACACATCTGGGGTTGAAGAGATATAGGAAACATGAGAGATGGGATTTGCTTCAGATGAAATTAGGAAGAAAGAAAGGGAAATGACAAGAACAATTTTATTCATGCGGAGAGCCATTGCTTTTCCTTTTTCTTCTTTTATTTTTCTAATTTCCAAACTAAGAAAGTGGAAAAAACAATGGGATTCTACAAAGAAGAAGTAACAAATTAAAGGGAGGTGTTAATTTATATGCAAAAGCAACGAAAACTTGGTTGGTGATACATGAAGGTAGATTTAATTTTGAGTTAGTACAGTTTTTATTTTAGTGGTTTACATTTCACTGGAATTATAGATCTCTAACTTCTTTTGCTTAATGATTGGTTCATAATTATCTATTGTTCTTGTTTCGCGATTCACATAGTTTAGGGGGAAAACAAAGAAATTTAATGTCAACAAAACACCCGAGGAACTTCGTTCACTCATAGGAAGTCCCAGAACTAAACTTGCTTGCCGATTAACTCCCGCACTACTTATCATTTAAATAAGTAAGATACAGAAATAAAATCTTACTTTCATTTATACTTGCATGAATACTGAAAACACATTTTTCAGTCAAAACACATTTGACATGCCTATACAATTAATCAAATGTTATTTCTACAGCTTTTTTTAATTAATCTATCCACCCAAATTTTCATTATTTATAAATTAAATAAACTGTAAAAAAATGTTTGTTAGTAACATTCAAGAATAGGAAAATATAAAATTTAAACTAAAAGTTGCTCACAAGAGTACTCCATAAACTATCGAGGTATCAAGCTGCTTAGCCATACTATGAAAGTCTGGGAGAGAGTGGTAGAGCTAAGGGTGGGAAAGAGTGTGTCTATTTCCGAGAACCAATTTGGTTTTATGTAGGGGCGTTCGATTATAAAAGCCATCCACCTTATTAGGAGATTAATGGAACAGTATAGGGAGAGAAATAAGGACCTGCATATTGTGTTCATCGACTTAGAAAAGGCGTACGATAAAGTTCCGAGTGAGGTTTTGTGGAGATGTTTGGAGGCTAAATGTGTACCTATTACCTACGTTAGGTTGATTAAGGACATGTATGATGGAGTAATGACCTGAGTGAGGACGGTGGGTAGGGACCTAGACCATTTCTCGATTATTATGGGATTGCATCAGGGGTCGGCACTCAGTCATATTTTGTTTGTTCTGGTGATGGATGTACTGACGCGCCACATTCAAGGGGAGGTGCCGTGGTGTATGCTATTTGCAAATGATATGTATTGATTGACGAGACGTGAGACGGTGTGAACGCACAATTAGAGGTATGGAGGCAGACCCTGGAATCTAAAGATTTCAAGTTGAGCAGGACCAAGATAGAATACTTAGAGTGTAGGTTCTGTGGCGAGACTCAAGAAGGGGAAGGGGAGGTGAAGCTGGACTCGCAGGTCATCCCTAGGAGAGGGAGTTTTAAGTACCTTGGTTCTATTATTCAGGGGTATCGAGAGATTGATGAAGATGTCACACATCGTATTGGGGCAGGATGGATGAAATAGAAACTCGCTTCCGGTATTTTATGTGACAAGAAGGTGCCATCGAAACTTAAGGGTAAGTTCTACAGAGTGGTGGCTAGACCAACGATGTTGTATGGGGCTGAGTGTTGGCCAGTCTAGATTGCTCATGTCCAAAAGATGAAGGTAGCGGAGATGAGGATGTTGAAATAGATGTGCGGGAACACCAGGTTAGATAAGATCAGAAATGAGGTTATTCGCGATAAGGTGGGTGTGGCCCTTATTGAGGATAGGATGCGGGAAACGCAACTTAGGTGGTTTGGTCATGTTAGGAGGAGGAGCACAGGCGCCCAGGTGAGGAGGTGTGAGAGACATTGAAGGGCCTACGGAGAGGTAGCCCAAAGAAGAGGTGGGGAGAAGTGATTAGGCAAGACATGGCACAGCTTCAGCTGACCAAGGACACGACCCATGATAGGAAGGTATGGAGGTCGAGGATTAGGGTAGTAGAACAGGAGTCTAGAGTGTTCATAACAGTAGTATTGGCAGACAGTCTCGCTTTCTGTTGGTATTAGGTTTTTATGACTAACCATTATTTTATTTCATTGTTGATCACCTTATTGTCTTGTTGTTTTTATTCTGCTTTTATATGGCTTTTTGGTACTATCCCTTCTTGTCTATATTTTCATTAGAGGGTGTTTGGCTAAGCTTATAAGCTGATCAAACTGGCTTATAAACACTTTTTGGCTTATCTACGCATTTAGTAAAATTAAAAGTGCTTATAAGTTAAGTGGTTATAAACCAAAAATAAGCCAAAAGCCATAAGTTGGTCCCCCTCCCCCCAACTTATCAAATTTCAGCTTATAAGCACTTTAAATTTGACCAAAATATTTACTATTCTATCCCTAAAATACTTCTTTTTAAAACAAAACTCTTTGTATACCCAGTTCTTCAGCTACTTATTATTAATTTCAGCACTTCTATCCAAACACGTACCTGCTTATTTTTTAAATCAGCTTCAGCACTTAAAAATGCTTTTCAGCACCTACTGCTTATCAGCTATTCTAAATCAGCTAAGCCAAATGGGCTCTTAATGTGGTGCTTATGATTTCCCAAGCCGAGGGTCTATTGGAAATAACCTCTCTATCATTACAAGGTAAGGGTAAGGTCAGCCGTACACACTACTCTCCTTAGACCCAATAATATGAGATAATACTGGGTATGTTGTTGTTGTTGTATAATAGTACTCCATGGTCCATTTGTCCCGTTTAATGCACATTTTTTTCCTTAAAAAAGAATGAATCTTTTCTTATAGGTGAAAATAATTTAATCTTAAAATTTTATTTATATTTTACTCTTAATGACATAATTGTGTAGCTACACATTAAGACCACAAGTTCAAATGCATTTATTTATTTTTTCTAATCTTCGTGTCCAATCAAATAAGTTTGCATAAAACCGAATTGATGGAATATTGCTTCGTGCCAATCTAAGAGTAAAAGACTCTTATCTAAAAGATGAAAAGACAGATGAATCAAATACTAAATGCCCTTGGAATGAGAAGAAAATTCATATATCTAATATGCAATGGTTTTTGCAGCAAATTCATATAATAAGCTCTCCTTTTATCTTCTTGCATGAAGCATGTGAACTGGGTGGATGGACGAGATGTTTGTAAGTTTAAATCTAGTTTTTACCACTTTGAACGAAATATCAGGAAGATAAACGAATAAATAAAACAGACACAATACAATAATTATTCAAGGCTTCAAGCTACCACCGACGGTTTGAAATCACTACTATATGATTTGTGCGGAGATGGATTTCTCAGCTAATTAAACCAAAAATGAAAAAACATTTTTGAGGGCCCAACCGGGTTCGAACCGGTGACCTCTTGATCTGCAGTCAAATGCTCTACCACTGAGCTATGGACCCAACGGCTCTGTTCCTTCAACGTATAATATATGGACGTTTACTTCTCTTTTCTTAATCTTTTCCCCTTTTCCCACCCTTTTTTTTCTCTCTGTATTTATTTCTTAATTGACCCAAGAGCGTTCTGTAAAGTAGACTCACCTGTTGTGCAAAAATGTGGTAAACGGGAACACAGATGGGGCTCATTTTGTTGTTGGCTAGAGTATGCTGGGATTAGTAACGTAGACATGGACGGATTTATATGCAAATATATAGGGTACATGAACAATGCTGGCTCAAGGGTAAGGCATCTCAAGCAATTGCTTTAGGTTCCCAAAATTTAAGGGCCCCATTTTTTTACTAGTATTACTTTTTAAGAGTTAATATTTTTTTAGAAAAATTGAATATTCTGAAGTAAAAATTAAAAAATTTAATAGGAAAAAATGAAGAAGAAAACTTTGATTTGTTACTGATGTCGACCATAGAGATTTGAATAATCTGAGGTGTGAAAAGAATTTATAATTTTTATTTAGTGAAAATTTTTGAGGTCACTAGATGATAAGAATCTGAGAAAAGTCACTCTGAGGGATAGTTTAGACTTATTTTTTTTAATTAAAAGCATTAAAGGAAATATTATAAGTAGAAATAATACCCTAATCGATATACTCAATCAGCTAACAAGTTTTGAAAAAGTAAGACTTGATTCTTTTTCAAATACCTATATTCCTTATCGATCGAATAATGTTCCTATAGTTGTATTTGCGGGAAGAAGTTTATTAAATTTAAATGTAATACAATCTTACCTAGAATCAACAATGTCTCAAGAGACAATGGATTAGTTATATTATCAAGTGAAAAAGAAATATTAAAATAACTCGATTATAAACAAAATATTAATAACTTTGCGTCCAAAAAGTAAGGAAAATAGACTTAAATTAAACATATATAAGATTTTTTTTTTAAATAAGGCACCTCATCAAGATTTGGCTTTAGGCCACCAGCAATGTTGAGCCACCCCTACACATGAACTCATGCTCTCTCCATAAACTAGATTTTTTTATATACATATTTTTAAAATTGGTTTAATATTATCTGATGACACTCATGCTCTAAAATGACTAAATAGTGCAGTTGATTGAATGCTCAGTTATTTACCTAGAGGAGTGGAGATCAAATCCCAAGACTAATATGTAGGAATAAATAATGCAATAATTACTTATACATCGATTGGTTATTTCATCTTTTACTCTGTATAAATAATACATAAGTTGGCTCATAACTTATAACTATTTATTTTTGGAATTGTAAAACAATATCCAAATACTCTTGGTGTAGTCAATTTTATTCGACTAAAAAGCTAGCAAAAATAGTATTAGCTATACTAATTTTAATACATAGTAATTCCCTTTCTAACACACAACCAAACGACCCCATAGTGACAAAGCTATACACTGAAGCAATTGTAGTTTTTGCACGTGTGAGTGGCCCTATGAAATTTTCTTACAAAATTTGTCCTTAGTTAAACTTTTGAATTAATATTATGTATAAGGTAAATTTAGTTTATATTAAGTGCTCGAATGATTACATGACACGTGGAATCGGAATTAGACGGAAAATGAAGCTAGTAGGAACCAAGACTGAGGACAACGACTTCAGGTGGCATCGGGTAGCTCCTGAAGGGAATATAGTCAATGGAGGCAAACGAATGTTTGT